GAATTGTGAGAAAAGATGAACTGTGACAGCGAGAAAGTGCCTTGCAAGCGCTTTTATAAGTCAACAGTTGCGGAGGAAAGTCCAGCGAAGAGAATGGGAGCGATTAAAAGCGAAACCGAAATGAAAAAACCATTCTCAAAGCTAGTGATCTTTTGAAAAGGCATGAAAAAATGAGGATTTATAGCAGATGAAATGAAAGTGTTAACAGCGACCCGAAAGAGGACTGGAAGAAGCCGGAAAGAGAGAAACAGAAGAAGCTCCTCCATAAGTTTGGGAATTTAAAAGATGCCAGCATACAGAAGAAGCCTAAGAAGATAATTTGGACATTACTAACAGATTAATTTACAAGTTAATATATCACTCAGCTTTCTCTTTCTCCCACTATATACCCTCCCTATTTTTCTATTTAAGCGAAATATCCCTCCTTTTTAGGAGAGTTAATAAAGCCTTTTTTAATTTAAAAAAATATTTAATATGGGGTGTGTTGTTTTTTTTTAAGTTTTAAAACCCGCCTTGAATATTCATCCAGCAGAAAGGAGGTTTGTTGTTTTTTGTTTTTTTTAAACAGGAGGCCACCACTTGGATTCAGGAAACATTAACTGAGACTGGTGCTTTGAGCATCTACAACAGACATGGCTCTGTCAAACACACTCGGGGGAAAAAAAATTGGTGGTGACGGTGAATGCATTTTTCAGTTAGTGTATTTCAGTTGAAATCAGAAAGACTGCTCTCTGAGTGTTCAGAGTCATAGGTATAAGCTTGATGATTTTACATGTCCAAGAGAGGCTTAATAAAATAACAGAAATTGGGATTTCGGAGCAGATTTGAAGAAAAAGCAACAATTATATCAACTAAAATCTCATGTCAAATAATAGTAACCAAAGATAAACAATATGCTGCCCCTAAAGCACTTCACCAAGTCACCACTGCAGGGCTACTTCTAAATGAACATTTAGCTTTGCCTTGCCTCCTGAACGGCAGTGGGCTTTTGGGGGGCTTCTGCACAGCATTGTCACGCAGACACTGGCCTTCCAGGTTTTCCCCTGCCTTACTGCATCTTCCCCCAAACCTGCTTAGGTATGATCTTCCCAAAAAGATGATACCACGTAAATGAAAAGGTGGCCAGCCCCTTCCACACAGGCACCATTTGTTCTAAAGCCAGCAAAAAGCCTTCTAGTGGTATGTTGGGAACTGGTGGGTACAAGGGGATTGGAAGGCAAAACCAAACCATCTCCCCCCACACACAAGCTGTGGCAATCAAGAGAACATGAAGTTTCACTAAAAAATAATCAAGTCCCTACTCCTCATTCTTCTACGACAGGCTTGAAAAACTGATGACACCAACATGCCCAACGTATCTCAGAATCCAAAGAGCAAATAAGTTGGCCTTTGTTCACATTTCTAAGTCTCAAGGGTCCTGTCACAGTCCTGAGGCGCAAACCCCTGATTTCTGATGTTTGGGATTAGTGATGGAACACCAGAGCTTTGGGTCACCTCAGCTGAAGATGACCAGACAGAAGCTTCCATATTTCTGTAAGTTTCCCAAAATCTGACTGCTGCCCTTAACAACATTTACTTTCTAGTGTTTGCTGAAACTGCTGAATAGCGTAAATTGAAATGCCACTGAATACCAATGGAGATGTTCATTAAAACTGTCAAATAGATGCCACTACTGGGTACTGAGAAAACGGCAGCATATGGTAGCAATGCATGCATACCATTCACACAAGTTTGATGTACAAGGTGTTCAAAGGAACAGCCTTCCACCATTTCAAGTCATGTCCAGTGTACCCCCTCCCTCATGCTGAAGAGATTTCCCATGTCTGACTTTGACTGACATGTCAGGATCTGAAGCACCTCCTCTCCCATTAGGCTGCCCAACTTACAACAATCACAACTTGCACGGTGGTTCTGAGCTGCTTCTCCATCTTGCTAAGAAGGTCAAAACTGACAACATTTATCAATCTTGCCAACAGACAATCCTTGCTTGTTGCTATGACACTGATGCTATCAGGACTCATGGAAGGAAGCCACCTGCGGAAAGCCTACATCGTCAAGAAAAGAAAAGGAGATGTGATCAGGAAAATATCTTTTTTGCATCTCAACAGCCAGAAACCTACAGCTGCCTTTCAAACAACAAAAAACAGCCATATCAATTTACAGTGCCCCTTTTTAATGCCACAAAATGCTGTATGGTCTTTCACCTTATTCCGCCCCAGGGTGCACAGCTAACTAAGTCACGATTGCTCCCATGTTATATCTGGAAATAGGGGGCTGCAAAGCAGCACTCAAAGCAAATTACAAACTATATTTAAAAAACAAAAAACAAAAAAGCATGAATATATAAACAAAAAATGCAACCATAACACTGAAAAACCAATAAAGCATTCAAATCAGAAAAGAGCATAACCCAGTGCAGACCATAACACATTTCAGATGGCAGTACCAATCAGGGCTCCACTTCTGGGTTTGCCACTGGAAAACAAGACCTCAGTATCTTGTCCCATGCTATTGCTCACATTGGCCTTCTTCTCACTGCCCCACTTCAGACTGCAGGTGAAGATTCACAGAGTGAAATGCTGGTCTGGATGGAAGGAACTGTCACTTATGAAGAACTGGTATGCCAAGAAAAAGGGTTTCAGGTCCACCTTCTCTCAGACAAAGCAGTCTTCTATGTGGAGAGATCTTTCTCCTAAGAACATATTTCATTCTTTGAAACCTTCAGCTGTATCTCAACTGTTCCTAAAGGGAAACAGATTGATCGTCCAAGGGAGAACTGAGATAAGCATCACACTAGGAACCCTCTTGTAAGACTGTTACTTAAAATGCTAGAAGAGCCCAGGTCCCTCTAGTGGAAGACATCCAGTAGGAGATGGATAGGGGGAGTGTGAACCTATTAAGTTTCCTGAACCTCTCAGCACCTTTTGATACTATCAGTCATGGTATCCCATGGGGGACAAGATGGAACTCCAAGCGATCCCAGAGGCCAAGGTGCTGAGCAGCAGTTCCCCAGCACTTCCTTCTGAAAACAACTCTCCAGGAAGGACCGGAACCACTGCAAAGCAGTGCTTCCCAGTCCCAGCGTGGAATGATGGTCCAGAAAGATACTATGACTGACAGTCTGAACAACCACTGAGAGGCAAAGGGCAATCAACAGAGTTGCACTCCCTCTGTCCATGTCCCAGCCCAGGTCATCCACTAGGCTAACCAAGTCTATTTCAGTCCCATAACCAGGCCTAAACCCAGACTGGAAAGGATCCAAATAATCCATTTGCTGTATTTCCGCATTTCCTCACATATTCCCCAAAGAGCACTTCGGTCGGGGTCACAACACCGCCTGGTGACCCCGGGCCCTAAGGAGGCCAGGCTTGCTACAACGAGGGCCAGGTCCTTTTCAGTGACGGCTCCTATCTGGTGGAACGAGCTCCCGGAGGAGATCAGGGCCCTGCGGGACCTTTTGCAGTTCTGCAGGGCCTGTAAGACAGAGCTCTTCCGCCAGGCATTCGAATAGGAGCCGCCACTGCCACTACCACCACCGCTCCATTATAGAGCGATACCGCCAGAGGGCCGGGTACCATCTATCTATGGCCCTAGCCCTCCCCTCTGTTGTGCAAGATGGTGGGAGTGTTCTATTCTTGCATACCGATGGAATTGAATTTTAACTGTTTTTATCTATTTTATATACTGTATGCCCTTTATGCCTTGTGTAAGCCGCCCTGCGCCCGTTCACAGGAAAGGAAGGATATAAATACAATGACATAAATAAATAAATAAATAAATAAATTTTATCCAGGAATGCTTGAAGTTGTCTAGCTATCACTCATTCCATCATCTCGCTCAACAATGGAACATTTCAGACTGGTCTATAGTCACTGAAGGCTCCTCTGTGCAAGGTAGGCTTCTTGAGTAGAGGCTGCGGTTCATCCGGTTTCAAGGCTGGAGGTAACCGCCCCCTCTCTTGAGGCACTGACTACCTCTTGAACCCCAGCCAGCCAGCCAGCCAGCCAGCCAGCCCTCTCTGGCAGATTTAAGTACTCAGGAAGGGACAGGCTCATACAAGCAGGAAGTAGGCCTCCAGCCTCCAATGATCCTGTCCATATCCTCAGCCTGAATAAACTGAAAAGTATCCCAAACAGCTGGACAAGTCAGCCCCCCCGGCACTCTCTGACCATGTCACTGCTTATGTAGAGTCCAAAATGGTATGGATACGAGACATTTTATCTGCAAAATGCTGAGCAAAATGGTCACAGGAGGCCACTGGGCACTACACCTCCCCTAGCAGGCCGTATCCCAACAGGCCTCTAACCACACAGAACAGGTTTGTTGGCCCTCACCGTGCAGACGTAATGGTGGCAGAAACATGTTCTCCTTGTCACCGTGACCACCTCAGAAGTACACTATAAAATAAGCTTCAGCCTACATCTTATTGGATCAATCCTCAGTATTCCTCCATCGCTGCTCTACCTGCCTCCCATATTTTTTCGTCACCAGCTAAAGACAGAGGACTAAAAAAGCACAGGAAATACAATTGTTACCTCTGCCCAGGTAAATCTCACAGAAGAAGGGGCTATCACCAACAGCGGCCATTCCTTCCGATAATATGCAGCAATGCAGATTGCCTGGATCGTTTTCCCGAGGCCCATGTCATCAGCAAGGAGCAAGCGGCCTTCTCGGGAAATGGCAAAACTGAAGATTGCAAAACAGAGAGCAGGCAAACTGATGGGTCTTGGATCTCATTCCCACAATGAAATCAATTCTTCTCAAGCCTCGAGGTTGGGTGTGACACATACCCATGCCACCCCAAACACTCGCCTGTTCACATTGTGTGAAAAGAAATTTTGGTTTTCTGTTCCAGACACTCTAGTGTCGTATTTGACCTCTGAACAAGGCAAGCAGAAATAGCGCTGAAACATATCTCAGTCTAGGAAGGCCAGAGCTCATGGGCAGTATGAATCTAATTTTTTCAAGAATTCCTTAAAAGAAGATCCCAATTACTGCTGTAGTTTCTGATTAGCCTCCTATGCAGGCAGTAGGGATTGCAGCAGATTCAACTATGTCTACATACCAAAAGTAGAACCCAGCAGTAAAAGGTGCCAATTAAGGCCTGGTACGTTTCAAGAACCTGCACACGCACTGGGCTGTTCAAAAGCTTGAATATGGTACAGAGCTGCACTTCCTGGGAATGCTGAACTTTTAATAAGCAAAAACTAAGATTCTAGTAATAGTAGTAGAGAGAAATTATTTACAATTGATCATTTTGTTTTTTACCTGCTACAGCATATCTCTCCTACCCAGTTTATATCTCCTATATGAGCCTGACAGCACAAGATACATATTTTCTTTTCTATGACCATGAAGGGAAGGACTCAATAAACATGTTCAAAGTGCCAATACGTTAAACAAAAGGGTACTTTTTCAGGAGCCTGAGAATATCATGTCACTTACTTCACACCTTCTCTCTGAAATGGCATCAGGCTTGTCACAACTTTAGGATCCACGCCTGAAAGATCTGCTTCAGGGATGTCTGCGGTCTTTGGAAATGACTTCTTGAACTGAGCAGCAAAGGTCTCTATTATCGGCTTGGGAAGTGGCTCTACCTCCACATCTGGAAGACCTTTTACCATTTCAACTGTACACATGCAAGATTTGATGTATCAGTAACCATGCAGCAATTAATGTATAAATTTGAATTAGTGCACAAACAATGCTGCTAGTTACCTGGATTCCTAGCCCATTCTTTAAGGCTTATTGAAAAAGATAAATTGGGTCACCCTCTCTCAATAATGAGCTTACAAAAATAATGCCAACTGAAGGTGCACACACATACTACATATGCATGTGTATAGAACATGCCACCACTAACAACTTTTGGAAAATGCTCACGTTTGCCAGCTAATGAATCTGCAAGGTGAGGAAGCTCTGAAACCATAGTGCAGGAGGAGGAGGAGGAGATTGGATTTTGACCCCGCCCTTCACTACCCGAAGGATTCTCAGAGCAGTTTATAATCTCCTTTCCCTTTTCCTCCCCACAACAGACACCCTGTGAGGTAGGTGGGGCTGAGAGAGTTTCAATAACTGCTCATGAGAGAACAGCTCCGAAAGAACTTGTGACTCACCCAAGGTCACACCAGCAGCTGCGTGTGGAGGAGTGAGGAATCAAACCCGGTTCTCCCAGATTAGAGTCCACACTCCTAACCACTACACCAAACTGGCTCACCAAACCACTACACCAAGCTTTAAAAATGCTTCTTTCTATGGCTCTAACCAATTGGTGGCATAACGAAGAGGAAGTTCTCATCTAACCTCAGAAAGCATAATAGTTCATAAGCAATAAGGGGCATGTCAACTACATTAATCATTTAACTTGGATGACTTCCCACATAACAAATTCTATGACAAACCAACCTTCATAAATGGGGTCACCCAGCAGCTTTGCACATATTTGCACAATTTAATCATTTGGAAGTGCAAAAAGCTATTCATGGTACTGAGCCCTCAACCACTGACCACTTGAAATCTCACCAGTTCATTATTTGGGCTTTCACATAAAAATGTCCAGCTGCCTTCACAGTAATGAGGGCTAGGAAGTCACTGTTGTATCAAACCAATTCTCAGGGTTCTTCATTCAAATCTCACAATTGTGCTGTACTTAGGCAGAACTGTAGGAAACACACAGTTCTGAACACAGAAAGCAAAACCAAATATATGTACAAATATCTTATCTGAACGAAATGCAAAGCCAAGGCGAAAAACACCGAAATGTCTCTGTCATCTCAGTCTACAATCATCCAAAGCAGAAGCCCATAAACACTACAGACAATGGTTCCATATATTGATCCTCACTATTACCTTCTCAAAGAATATTTTTAAATTATCCAGAATCGGAAGCAATAGGAACTTCCAGACATTCAGGTAATTTGGAATGTTTCATCCATTCCTAAGGTAAAACTAAAAAGTTACCAAGTTATTCACTCCAACAAATGTCAACTTTAACAACTCTGGATTTAAAACTGTTCAATAAAAAATATCTAATCTTGAGCAGTGACTTGAGGTTTTTTTTGGCAAGGCAACCAGAACATCTCTGCACAGTTCTAGGTGCCACACAGAAATCAGCAGGCAGCTTTCTTAAAAAAAAATCACCAAAAAATGAAAATCTAGAAAATAAACTATTCAGATATACTTGGCAACTCAAATGTGCACCGCTTTTCTTCATTACAACAGCCTCAGTATGGACTGCAACTCTGGGCTGCCAATTTTAATTTCAGTCCTCTCTAGAGTGAAGGCAGCATAACCCTTCAGTTTTGAAAGAACAGAAATGAAAGAAAGGATTTCTATTTGTGCATGTTCATAGAATCATAGAGTGTTAAGAGTTGGAAGGTACCTTGCAGGTCACCTAGTCCAACCCCCTGCATTCTGCAGGGGCATAGCCGAAAGATAGCCCTACAAAATACCCGAAAAATGGTCGTCCAGCCTCCGCTTGAAAACGTCCAGTGAAGCAGCATCCACCACCTCCCGAGGCAGTCTTTTCCACTGCTCAACCACTCTTACAGTCAGTAAGTTTCTCCTGATATCTAGCCGGTAACGACTCCCTTGTCATTTCCACCCATTAGATCTAGTCTTGCAATCAGGAGAAAGAGAGAATAGATCTGCTAAATCTTCTACATGACAGCCCTTCAAATATTTGAAGACTGCAATCATGTCCCCTCTAAGCCTTCTCTTTCCCAGGCTGAACATACCCAACTCTTTCAGCCTTTCCTCATAAGACTTGGATTCCAACCCTCTCACCATCCTGGTTGCCCTCCTCTGGACACGCTCAAGCTTGTCAACATCCTTCCTAAAATGTGGTGCCCAAAACTGGACACAGGACTCCAGGTGAGGCCTGACCGTAGCAGAATAGAGTGGAACTCAGTAAGCTGTCTCCCTCTCCCTCTGCTGAAGCAAAGCCCCTACTTTGTTATTACACCCAGAAAGTTGCATGCTAGAATTATAAGACAGCAAATTGCAGCAATCACACTATCGTCACTGTTTTGCCGATAAGCTTGGAAAAATTAGGATGTCTCAGCAGCTTGAGTGATTCATCGAAAAGTTTCTCTCTCTATCCCCAGCTGACCTTTTATCTTAAGAGGACTGAGCCAGTGGGTGCTAAGGTAAAACTGTCAAAATGAATGTGGCAAGGGCCTTTGAAAATGTTGGTTTTGATAGGGCATTTAAAAATCCACATTTGAGGCTGGCAGGGCAGCTGGCTCAATCCAGTTAAGGACCACCCATCTAGAACTAGGTTGTCAGACTCATCTCCCTAGCCGGATAGAGACGTGCATGCACAAATGGGTCCACAGATGCTTCTGGAGCCTAGAAAAGAGAATTCAGGTGTCAGCTATGCTACCATAAGGTTAAGGGGCCCCTCCTGGACCCTCTCCCTGTTCTGAGTGTCAGAACCCACAGCCAACAATGAAGTACACGCATTCAGGAACGGTTAAACTTTTATTGCAGAGCTATAGATGCAGTAATATAGGCACTGTTAAGAATGGCGGCGGCCCCATAGGCATAATAGGATATAGGGTATTTGTATGCACACCCCCCCCCCAGCACTGGCCAATTAGGCACCCTCTCGTGCGCGGGTTAAGGCTTAGAGACTGTTAGGTAGCTGAAGCTGAGAACGAACACTCTCCCACGGCACCTAGGGCAATCCCAGACACCACAACACCCTCCTGCACATCTGTATAGATAAGCGTTTCGGCGCACAACAGAGACAGCACAGAAAGGAATGCAGTAGCAATTAACCTGAAAGGAAAGCAATAACAATTACCCAGAGACAGACCAACCTCCCCAACCTTCATGGCAGCATAGCTGACATACTGCCCTCTCTAAAATCAGCTTCTCCCGACCATTCCAGGAGATCTCCCGGTCATTCCGGGAAGTCGCGATGGAACTGTCGTAACAGTTCAGGGGCCCGAATATCCCCTACTTCCACCCATTCGAGGTGCTGGGGTCCCTGAACTGTCCCTATATCCTATTATGCCCATGGGGCCACCGCCATTCTTAACAGTGCCTATGTTACTGCATCTATAGCTCTGCAATAAAAGTATAACTGTTCCTGAATGCGTGTACTTCGTTGTTGGCTGTGGGTTCTGACACTGAGCTGCATTCCTTTCCCTGCGCTTCTCCTCTCCTTATCTCTGACCTTGTAGGCTGCAGATGTAGTGTCTCCACATAACTCATCCGTGAGACTGCTTTCGGTTCCCAGCTTTTAGTGTTAACAGCCCAGGTACTTGTTCCCGCTCGCGGGAGTCAGGCCGATTGACCCGTAGTGTGTGTGGGGGGTGCTTTTTTGAATCTACTGTATCTCTCCGTGAGTCTAGGGGTTCACCATTCCTAACAGTGACTATGCTCATACTACCATTGTACTGGCAATAAAAGTATAACCTTTGAAGAAGCGTGTACTCAGTTGCTTGACTGTGGGTCCTGACACCAGGAATAAATCTGCTTTATTTATTCATGAAGCTGCTTTATATCGAATAAGCCTATTGGCTCATTTCGCTCAGCACTCTCTATTCTGACTGGCAGCAGCTTTCCAGAGACTCAGTCAGAGAAGGGTCACCTCCAAAACTTCCTACCCAAAATCTTGTAGCTGGAAAAGCCAGGGATTGAGCCCGACTCCTTCTGCACTCAAAGCACATGCTTGACCACTCAGCTATAACCCCTAAATCACATTTAAGAACACATTAGTGACAACTAGTCAAAGGTTCTTTTGCTAATTTGCTTTCACAAAATGGCACCAGATTCTATCTGAATGGGTGCTAAAAAAAAGACATCTGATTCTATTCTCCCTTTCCAAACTGTTTTCACACACTGACACACAGCACTCCACCCCCTTCACGGTGAAACTCCATCTTTCAGAAAGGCACTGCAGCATGGAAGCTGGAATCTTTCCTGAATAAAAGTTAGCCAAAATACCCTACTTAAGATCTGCTAGAGGTGACGGGGAGAAGTGTACAATTTACCAAGTGCTCTAGAATAGCGGTTCCCAACATTTTCGGTATGGTGGTCCACCCAGGGTGGCCCAAGGCTTTTTTGTACCCTAGGCAAACTATGACACTGGCATCCATCTAGTTCAGCAATCCATTTTCTACAGTTGCTAGCCAGATGTTTTTGAGAAACCAACAATCACACAAAGGGTGCAGTCAGACGGCATGCTGAGAGCGGGTTAAACTGCTCCAGTTCTAACCAGATTATATTTGATCTGGATAATTGCGATCACACTTCCCTCCCTTATCCCGCCTCACCGCAGTCACGTTACTCCCCGGCGTCTACACTACCGTGCGTGGGAGCGTGCGTCAATGAGGTTTATTTTTTCTCAGTTTGCACATGCGCATAGGCACCCCTCCATAGAATGGGGAGGAACTATCATGGCGCATGCGTAGAACCACCAGGGCGAATCAATCCAACCCCTCCAACAAAAGACTTCCCTTTAAAAGTTTGACCTGAAAATGGCCTCCGTGAGATCCCAAACTCATCTAAACTCTAAAACAAGTGACCGTTTAAATGTCAGTTTTCTAAACATGGTAGTGGAGCTCCGCCTATGCGCACACCGCCAACGCATTAAAAAAATGGCAGACGAAAAGCGGAAGCCTCAGGCAGCTTTCGAACGGGGAGGAGGTTTAAGCCGGAAGTGGCTTGACACCGGAGGAGCGATCACACAGAGGGGAAATGCGGCCTTAAACGGGAGAGCTGAGAAAACACCACTTTGGGACCTGGTAACAAAATACTCTGGGTTAAAGCGGTTTTGAGCCGGAAACCAATGGCTGGGGACAGGAGGCAGATGCTGACTGTGTGATCGTGCATATAAAATCCGTTCCTGAAGTGTGACGAAAGCTGATCAAACAGCCCATCTGAACACACCCAAAGGGTGCAGCTGCCACCACTACGAACCCCAAGCAAGTGGCATTCCAAGATACACAGCCTTTCATATGGAAGTTGCATTGCAGCTTTTGACTACCCTCTCCTTAACCATTACTCCCTCCAATCCCTCACTAAGATTCTCACTGACTCCAGTGACCTCAGGACCCTTTGTACTTGATCAACATATATAAGCAGTGAAGAAGTTGGCATACTATGTATGGCCCTGTTTCCAGGGTCAGATCTTGGTTTCCAAGATACAAAAGAAAACAGTGGAAAGGGCAGGAGCAGCCATTAGGGAGGGCTAGCCACTTGCAGAGGCTTTGCAACTCACTTTTGGGTCCTGACCCACAGGTTGGAAAACACTGTTCTAGAAGCTGTTAACTGCCTTCCGCTGGAGAGGACAGTCAACAACAACATTTAAACTATAGTGGGGGGGGGGAGTTTCCACAAGAAGCTGTAAGCAAAAGCTAAACACATTAATCCATCTGGAAGGCAGCCGAAGAGCCAACATGAATTCTTTAACCACCTCTGATTTAATTCTTTACCCACCTCTGATTTAATTCTAAGAAACAAGGTTTGAAAGAGTAACTCTAAAAAAAGAAGTATAACCTCAGATCTCTTCTATGGAAAAGACAGATTCTTACTTAGACTAAGGTAGTCCTCCAGAAGGAAACTCCATTTTCTAGTCTTCATGTCTGTAAAAATCATAAGAAATACTGTCCAAAGATGCTGAGAAAACAAGAAATACATCCAATTTAGATAAAAACGAATGTTTCATAGCTTGCAAATCAAGTGCAATGTCCTTTATCCAAACTGTGCAGGTAATTTGAGGTTCAGGATAAAGACATGGGTTACAATTGCCCAGTAGGTGATCTAGGCACAAAGTGAATTGGAACCATGGGAAGAATCAGATAATGGAGATGTGACAGTAGAGATTGCAAGGCCAGATGTTCAGAGTTGGCATTGTATCGTGCACATCTGCATTCAGTGATCACTATCCAGAACCACTCAGATCCCTGTACTGGAATTTTAGCACAAAACTCATTATGAACATCTAGGGCTGAAAAACCAATTGGAGGCTACATAATTTTATCTGGCATCTGGTAATGCTACCAAAATATATCTAAGTTGCCAGAAAGTTTCCACATTCAAATGTTACACTGCATGGATTTTGCACATAATATACAGACATGCTCATCTGTGTGCAATGCTGTACATAATCAGTTGCTCTCTAACTATGAAGCCGTTCCTGCTAGATTGTATCAAGAAGGTTCTCAGAAAAGAGTCAATCCACTTGCGAGGAGCTCCCAGACCACGCCAGAGATCACAGAAGTTGGCCACTCCTGATCTAGGTTTCCAAAATCCAAACAAAATTACTGATGTCCATAGCATTTATAGTTCTTGGGCTCCATGTTCATGAACCAAAAAAATGAGATGCAAGAGTTCTTGCATGCCATGGTAAGAAACATTTGAGATCATCTGAATCATGATCACTCTTCTTACTTGTCACGATCATGTTAGCTGCCTGCCACATACAAAACATGGCGCTTCAAAATATCTTTGATGGAACTTAGTTGAGAGATATGACTAGAATTAAACCCCAGTGCCAAGCCCCAACCTGTATTTTGTATAGGTATTACTTACACAAAGCAGGTCATATACGAAAAGACACAAAGAGCAAAGAGTAATACCAAGTTTAACGCAAACAACTGGTTACGTCACTTACCATAACTTCTAGAATTCACCTGCTTGAACGCTCCTATAAGGCTAGCAGCATAGCCAATATCTACTTCAAATCGAGAACATGATATCAGTACACATTTCCCTCTGACAGAGGTGGATCGTTTCTTCCAACCGGTGCACGTCTCCAAGAGGGATCTCAAGTGAGGACCTTCAGAAACTGAAGACGGCACAGAAGTCTTGGGAGCTGCCTCCACTCCTTCCAGGGGCAACAAAGTAACAGAGGGAATTTGCTTCACTGCTTCCACTGGAGATAAGGAACAAATAGGTTAATTTTTAAAAAATTGCATCCGCTCCACCAGATATTTTTACATGTAGAAGAAAAGCCAAACAGAGCCTGTTAGTGCCTAGAAAAGCACACTAAACAAATTCAAACATTGAACATTTTTAGGTGATTCTCTCTACCTCTCACTCAGCAGAGACCATTGATTAGTTGCTCTTGATGAGTAGACTCTGATAGCATTCAGAACTTCGAAGTATTGATGTGCTACAAAAAAGACTGAAACAAAATCTTGAACTACAGGCTTCCTTCTCTCCTATATATCGGCTCAGTACACCTGAACGCAGAACTTTTATCGAGAAGTTGCTCTAAATAAAACCAATTTATCACTCCACCATTAATCCAGTGTGAAGTGGTTCTGGTTTAGTGAATGTACATGACTACCAAGAATCTTTTGCCCAGATCTCTGCACTTAAGCAAACCCCCCAAAGCAGTACCACTGGACACCGCAATCATCTGCTTACTTACTGAGTTGGCTGTAATCTTCTAGACTGAAATTCCACATCTTTGTTGCAGGATCTGAAACAGGTCAGAATTTGTTGTCGTTTTTAAAATTTTATTTTATTTTCAAAATGTAACATAGCACATATCACAGTAAAGAAACAACGCAGTGACTTCCGGTTTGTGGACTGGCGATGGCAGTCGCTCTCCCCGGACCTCAGGGGAGCGATTAGCACACCAGTGGCATGGAGGGGTGCTACCTCAAGTAGGATTCCCACGGAGCCTTTGTGATAGGCTCCAGGCCAGAGGGCTTTTGAGGGTTAGCCTCTTCGACGGCTCGATGCTGGAGAATCGAGGCTTCCCTCCGCCCTGATGGTCCTGCCGCTGTGTGGCCTTGAAGGTTCCATATGCAACTGACATTTCAACTGCCTTGCGGAGAGGGGGGTGAGTTTGAGGTGTGGAATGCAGTGAAGTCCAATCAGCTTCCATATGCAAAAGACCTTGAAACGCTGGGCGGGACTGCACAAAGCAGCCAGTCAACCCAGCCAGCGTCTTCTGACTGACAGTTCAAGCGTCCAAACACTAAAGGCGGGCATTTTAGAATGTTCATATAGAATGTTCTTACTCAATTATATATAAGGAGAGATTCTGGTTTGCTATTTTCCCCATGATGAACTGCATCCATATTTTATCACACCACAAATCTAAAGGGGGGCCTGTGTTTGATTTCCACCTGGCAGGAGGGGTCATTTCCTGCAGGAGCGCACAGGAGCGGAGCTCTGGCAGTAAAGAGCCCAGGGGGTGGGCACATGAAACAAGCCCCACCTCTGCTCCCAGCAGCCCTCAGTCAGAGCAAGAAGCAGCCAGGTAAGTTGCAGAGCTCCCCCCGACCCCCTGGTCCAAAACAGTCCAGTGGCACCTTTAAGACCAAGTTTTATTCAGGTACAAGCTCTCCCTCCTCTGCGAGGACAGATCTGCACGTTCCCCCCCCCCCAATAGCTAGCAATCCAAAACAGTCCCGTGGAGCCTGAGCGGTGGGTGTTGCCTTCTGCCACACTTCCGGTGATGCCAGGGGGTGTGGCCTATGCAAATAAGTTATGCTAATTAGTTATGCTAATGAGTTCTTGCACCTCTTTTTCTATGAAATGACCCCTGCCTGGCAGCAATGGTGGGTCTAGCTGCAGCAATTAGAATGGAGATTGTTTCCTTCATTTGTTTTGGAGGGGACGGTTCTGGCCATTGTTCCAGCAAAATCAGTCCAGGGTCAAGGGGAACCGATATATATTGGTTATCTGGCTTATTGTCTTGGTTATGACCTTCCAGAGATTCTGAATGACAGGGCAATCCCACCAACAATGCCAGAATGTCCCAGGCTTTGTTAATGTTATGCAGCTTTTAGGGAGGTCAGACTTTTAAGAGTTACGTTAGGGTAGAAAACACCCTGCCCTGGATGGCCCAGGCTAGCCAAATCTCATTAGACCTTGGAAGCGAAGCAAGCATGGTTGGCTCTGGTTAAGTACCTGGATAGGAAACCAGCAAGGAAGCCCAGGGCTGCTATGTCGAGGCAGGCAACAGCAGGCAGTGGCAAACAATCCCTACAGGGTTGCCAGTCAGCTATGACTTGAAAGTACTTTCCACCAGAAAACATTCTCCTGACATGTTCAGAAGCAGGGGCTACCTTACCAGAAAAGTTCCTGATGGGTTGCTGTTCTGGAGGGCTGTGGGCATCTAGAAGCAAGTTGAGCCAAGTGGCACAGGAGGAGGTGCTTTTCTACCTTAGCTGCCACTGCATAACACCCCCCTCCCCCTCAAAAAATGTCAGAGGTGGAGAGAACCATATCTGTTACCATGAGGCTGTCCTCCCATTCTACCCACTTGGGGCAGCAAAATGCCTTGAGACAGCCCTGCCTTATAGCTAAGCAGAAGGAAAGAAACATGGCTTGCCTCCCTCCATTTTCCGCTTCCCTCTGCCGCCCCACCAGTCACAGTCGGGACACTCATCTGGAGGCCCCACCAGTCGTTGTATTTCTTCCCACAACGAGCATTACTCCTAGTTATAATTAAAATAACAATGTATCTACTAGGCCATCTAAATTCCCAGCTTTTTAAATTAGGAAATCTCTAGCTGGTTTTGGTGTGGAATGACCTTTTCCTTTATATCTCTGCAATGAAAAGGGCTACAGAACTGGTAATTTAGAGGACCTGGGGTTGGATTGCCCTGACCTGGATGGCAAAGCTAGCTTGATCTTGTCAGATATTGGAAACTTAAGCAGGGTCAGCCCTAGTTAGTACTTGGATGGGAGACCACCACAGAAGACCAGGGTTGCTATACAGAGGCAGACAAAGGCAAACCACCTCTGTTCATCTCTTGCTTTGAAAATCCTATGGGTTGCCATAACTTAGCTGTGGCTTGATGGCTTTTACCACCACCATGAGTGAATCCTATTATTCTCTTCTGCTAAGTCTTCCTTCATGGGAGAAAGACTTCCTACAACAAAGAGTTAGTTTTTCTGGTGGAGGAAAGCTTTAGTAGAAGAGAGTCAATGGATCCAGCTTAGTGGAAGGCAGGCATAAGATCTAACTCCTAACAGATACTGATACAGCTATATTAATATGTCAATTGCCAATTTTAAAAATTAAACCCAAAAGCACTCTGCTGGCATGAAGGAGAGTGATTGGTGGCCACAGGGGGCTCAGGCAGGGAAAGTGTACAGACTAGTGCGCCATGTGAATGCTCCAGGGCCACCATGAGTCCTTCTGCATTTTCTGTGGCAATGTGAGCTTCATGAAACATCACTGTGTATAAACAGCTTCAGCTACCTGAAATGGGACCAACTTTTCCCCTCCCATCTCATCTGTAACCCAGCAGCAAAGCAAATGCATATACATGAGGAGAAATACAGGCCTCTCTCCCTCAGTGTGCAAGGAGAGGTACAGGAAATTTCTTTTCCCCTCCACAAGGCATGCACAGGTCAGCCAGAGAGGTTATATAAAGAATTGAGTGAGAGACAACCTGCTGGTTAATTTGGAACTGCCGATGCCCTCCTCAGAGCAGGAGTTCCTCCACTAAACATACAACCAAGAGATTGTCAGGACCAAGACAGGCAGGCGCTCATGACACAAAGAGAAGAACACATAAGGTGCAAAGACTACAAGCCACTAAGAAGTTCCAAGAGCCCCATTGTGGCCTCAAGGGCTACAAAAGAAAAACAGACACCCTGAACACCCCATAGTAGGGTATAGCTTGTCCTGGTTTTAACTCTGCATCTATGAGGGCAAGATGCACGTTCTTTTTAGGGAGGAAATGAAAGCAAAGTTTTTCAGGATTCCGCAAAAGCTCCTCAGTTCAGCATATCTACAGTTTACAGCACAATCCCAGCTACGAAGATCTCTAGATGTACTACCTGTTGCACAATGATAAACAAGGCACAGGACAATAATCAATAGTCTTACCATATTTTTTGCTCGGTGTGCTTCTGAACATTTCAATAAGTTCGGCATTGTACCCTATGTTAACCTGAAATCGGTCTTCAGAGTGCTTCACACATTTCCCTTTGAGGATGCTGTGAGCTTTTCTTTGTACAGGTGTTGCCAAGTTTCCTGCAGTCCCAGCTACTGCTGAGTTCCGTCCTCCAGCCCCCAAACGATTGCTCATACCATAGAACTGCAATGTGCTACTACCTTCTTTTTCAGAGTCTGGATTTCTAGCATGTCCCAGCTGTTCACAACCATCTGTAGTACTGGTGGTGGTATTCAACAGTAAAACATGTTTGAAGCCATCGCATCCATTGGCGGATGCGTTCAGGGTTCGCAGATCTTTAGTACTCTCAAATTCTCCATTACCACCAAGCCTAGAATGACACTGTTCTGCAAGGTTAGGGGCCTCTGTACAATATTTAGGTGGTTGTAACAAATTAGAATGAGAAAGTGGTTGACTTTGTTCTTGAGAATGCAGATGTGAAGAATGTGAATGAGGGTAACTCAAGGAATCCTGCATCACTGATGCGGACCAGTTAGTGCAACTAACTAAATCTTGACTGGAGCCCTCTGGATAATTCTTCTGTTGCACACTATACAACATGGCTGCTGCCTCCATTTGAAGGCTCTCCTGTACACCATGGTTGCTGGAGCCCTGGAGGTGATGACAACCAAGCCTGGTATGATGGTTCTCTCTCTCCAAAGGCGGTTGCAAATTTCCTTGACAGCTTTTAAAACTGTTCCAGTCAGGCAACTTCTTAGCAGCAACACCCTGCTGAGCTGCCAGTCGCTCTGCTCTCCTTGCCAAAGCCTTCTGCCTGTTTTCCTCAATCCTCCTTTTGTGTTCTTCTGTCAGCCCAGATGCCATCTTCCATCAAGTACTCATTGAAAGTCTTTAAAAATAAACAAAGAATCTCATCAGCTAAACATACAAGAGCCACTTCAGCCCATATTGACGTGAGCAGTTATTCAAAGGATTATTATCTTTCCCATCTTATTCCAAAACTCAAGGTGAGCAACAACATATCCTTACTCTATTTTACCCTCTGTCATGATCTGGGCTGTGCCACCAGAGGCCTACTAGGCCCAGGGAGCCTGGTTAGCAGTAGAGGAGGCTGGGCCTACAAACCCCAGAAGGCCTTGGGAGGTTTTGGCGCCAGTTTTGACCAGTAGGGAAGAAGAGGGTTGGGGAATATAAGAACTGGTACAAGACGAAAAGCTGTTTTTCTTCCCAGGAAACAGAGCCAGAAAAGAGGCTGCTGTGGGGAAGAAACCCTCATCCTGAGGGAAGGGTGAGTAGTCTAAGGCCACTTGAGATAGTGAGCTAGGGACAGTGTATATTTAGATACGTTAGGGCATTTGATTTCTTTTCACCCACTTACTATTATATTTCTGCTCCTTGTTGTTTAACCTACTATAAACTAAACTATATTCATTGTTCACTCTGCCTGGTTCTCATGCCTATTATTCAGCCAAAAGGGAGGTCTGAAGGTCTTCGGGAGGGTGCTCTGGACCTTCTCAAGGGATCCTAAATCCAGAGTGGTGGCAGCATCAGGTGACACCCCACCTGAGCCGTGACACCCTCAGTTATACTGCAAGATATGTTGGGCCAAGAGACAGCTGAATAAACAGCTGTCTCTTGGCCTAATATATCTTGCAGTGTAACTGTGGGAATAAATCCCAGTTCCCACTGGGATTAGGTGGAGAACATCTAGCACAGAGTATTTGACTTCCTAGCAAACTGCAGACCTAAAAATTAAGCACCGGTTTGCCATGCTCCCTTAGTCCAAGACAGTACTAGAAAGCATTTGTTGCACTGAACCTGTACACCTGAACATGCACCTGAACTGTGTTTACCTAGTACAAGTTTCCTAATTAAATAGCAGCAGAAAAAGATATTGGTTAGCACCTTTTAATACTGTATTGTTTTATTGTTTTGTGATTGTATGATTAGTATATTATTTATTGTTGTTTTAAATTTTTGGAAGCCGCCTGTCAGCAAGCTGCCATTCTGTTTTCTGTGACCTCTGTGTACATATTCTTTCCCTGTTGCACCCGGCTTGGTTTCTATCATCCTACTCCTGCGTTGGAATGCAAAAGATAACTGCTGGAGGTTGTGTGGGGGAGAAGATGCTGTAATGCTTGGCTATTGCTTTTCCCATGACTACTGCACCTGTGTTATGTCTAATATCCTGCCTGGTTCCCATGGACTGGGCGCGCAACCGTTCCATTAGCCCGCCAGCGGGAAAGTTATTCATTGGACCTGTATCTCTTT